CATTAGTGACTAAATAAAATGAAATGCAAGTTTAAAGTCAATAACGATTATGATCAAAATAATAAAAAATATGATGATCGAGATCTAATTAAATAAGTAATACTTTTTTTAAACTCAATAATAATAACAAATAGTTTTAAAAATAATTTAGTTATTCTTTTTTATATATATGTAATATAATTTATAATTAAAAAAAATGTTATATAATTTAAGATTCTAATATCTTAATATATCATTAGTTATAAAATACATAAATAATTTTTATATCTAATTTTGATTTTTATACTGTAATTATGTCGGAAATAGAAGATGATAGTTTTATTATTCAAGATTCTTCCAGTAAAAGTTTTAATTCAATAATGTTAACCAATCAAGATATTAAACGAAAACAAATTACATTAGAAAAATCAAGAAAAAAGTGTGATCGTATTTCTTGGGTCTGGGAATATTATGATAAAAAAAATAGATTTTTATATTGCAATATAAAAATCACCAATATAAGCAAATGTATGACAAAATATAGTGAAAATAGTTCAACAGGAACTCTTTCTTATCATTTTCAACAGGTTTATAATATTATATCTGGATATTTATCACAGGTATTTTTTTATTTTAATTATACTTTAATTAAATTATTTATTTTTTTATAATTTTATAATTTATTTAATATAATTAGGATGTTAAACAATTAAATATTAATAATAAAAACAAAAAAATTTGGCCGTATAAACTTTCAAAGATGAATTATTTACATCAAATAATTACTAAATGGATTATAATTGATGGACATTCATTTAATATAGTACAAGGAAAAGCGTTTCAACATATGATGGCTATATTTGATCCAGCATTCCAGGTTTCAAGTAATATAACTTGCAAAAATTTAGTTGCAGAGGCATATGAAAATAGTGTGAAGAAAGTTAAAGCTTTAATCATGGAAACATATGAATTTGCAACTATAACTGTTGACTTATAGACAGCTCATAACAAAGTTGAATTTATTGGAATAATATGTCATTGGCTTACTTCTGAATTTAAAATAGTGGATCTTCTTTTATATTGTGAACAAATACTATATCCATATACAAGCAAGAATATTTCATCATTTATATTAGCAAAGCTTAAAGAGTTTAATCTTGAAGATAAAACTTTTTTTGCTATCAGTGATAATGGAACAAATATAATAAGTGCATTTAACAAGTTTGAAAAAATAGTCTGACTTTCTTGTATCACTCACAACATTCATTTATCTATTAACAAAGGTTTAAAAACTGTTCAACTATATACAAAAAGATTTCAAAAATTAGTGAAATTTTTTACAACATTGGTGAAACAAACTGAATGTTTAGATCAAGTTCAATTAACAATTGCAAGAAATAAGATGCGAGAAGAAATTATACTTCAATTTGATAATATGCAAGATTCAAATAATGAAGATTATAATATCGATAATAAAAATTAAGAATTGAAAACTTTAATCAAAACAACAAAATTCAAATCATTGCGCAATATATCTGATATATATACACGATAAAATTCTAGTTACTATTCATAGAAGCAATTATTAGATTTATGCGAATCAATTCAATGGTTAGCTACAATATTATTGTTACAACAAGACAAAAGTATACAAAATGATGCATGAAAATTAAATAGATATCCACTCAAGATAGAGGAATGGAAATTATTACAA